CTGGATAGGGTGGCCTAGGTGATTTGGAGGGGTCAACAGCTGGCAGCTTTCCTGTCCTACCTCCACCCATTTGCAAACAAAATTGTACTCATGGGATTGCTCGAAGGGGGAGTGGACTGGATGGTTGGCGAACTACTCTCCAAATGGCCAAATCCGGTTAGAAAGCCGTAGGTACCGATCTCCATACAGGTGTCCACTTGGAGGGTCAATCTGAACTGACAGCATTAGCCAAATTTGCTCCAGAAGCATAGTTTAATCCCAGTCTGTGAGAACCAATGGACACATACACCTAAGATAAAAGGCGACTAGGCAGTGTGAATTTTAAAGCAAAGCCTACCCGTGGCTTAGACGGGCACTATCATATCGATCAGTCAGATAATACCCAGACGCAAGTCTATACTTAACAGGAATCTCGCATGGTGGCCATTACGCACACTAGCCCTTGCTCCCTAACCTGAAGGTCTCCTTCCGAACATAATCTCTCACACGCCCGTTGGCACAGTGCTAGACCATTAACCACCCTGCTCATACAAATATAAAAATGTGCAAGTTATTCCTGCCATACAAATGTATTTATATGTCTACCAAACTCCTGGCGATCGTTGTTGTGGCATCGCTAGAAAACTGTTACTTACCTAACCTATGCACGAAAAATAAAGAATTAAAAAAAAAAAAAAAAGAAAAAGTAGATATAAGACATAAGTGTAATTTGAAATTGCAGTTTATTGTAATCTGTCTGCCTTCATTAAACCACTCTTGGATCTGCTAAAAAAATAAATAAAAATTTGCCTGCCTATTGAAGTCTATGGCGGTTCGCCGGGTTCGCCGTCTTCGCGAACATTTGTGGAAGTTCGCGTTCGCGATTCGCGAACCGAAAATTTCATGTTCGCGACATCACTATTCTTAATCATAGGTCTTCTGAGAGCTCTTTTGTGCGAGGCATCATTCACATCAGGCAATGCTTCTTGTGAAAAGCAAACCCAGAACTGGTGTGTGTTTTTATAGGGCAGGGCAGCTGTAACCAACACCTCCAATCTCATCTCATTGATGTCATTAGTCTAGGGGTTCACATACTTTTCCACCTGCACTGTGAATGTTTACATGGTGTGTTCAATAAAAACATGGCAACATTTCATTCTTTGTGTGTGTGACAGAACCATCTGTCTGCCTATTGTGGTGGATTCATCTATTTCTGCCCCGGTTCGTGTAAATGGCTGTTTCTATAGCCCAGCCATACGAATGACTGTTTTCACCGAACAAATTCACCAAACGGATGGCCACCCAGAAGAAGAAGTGTGCTGCTGGTTAACCTCTTGATCCCAATTAGAACGTTGTGGTTAACCGCAGACACTTCTCAATTAAACCGAATTCAGGGTGGCCGTCGTTCGTAGGTCGACCATGAGGCAGCGACCATTTTAAAACGCACGAAAGCCCAGCGGTGTTTGGCACTGATTCCATGGAACTAAAAACGGACACTTTTTCTGCCGAACACCGCTGAAACAATGGGTCGCATGGCTGCCTCGACGAAAGCATAGGAACACCGGCCGTTCGGGTGTTTTGAAACACACGAAAGGACTTAACCCAGATAGCCTTCCCATGGAGTTATTCGCATACTGAAAGACTGTAAGAACTTTGACTCCATGGCGATTGAACTATGTGTGTGGGACCTGAGCGCTATTCGCTAATAATATGCACTCAGATCCAGGCTATCTGGGGATGTGTGATACGAATGGGAAATGTTCGGTTATTTTAAAGTTATATATTTTTATGTATTTTCTGGTATTGCATTTAAGATGGCGATTTGTCTTTGTCCTGGAGATAATTTAATTACTTCTCAATTATCTCCAGGGCAGAGGAGAGGAAACCATATTGCATTGTGGGAAAAGCTTGTGATTGTACGTCTGAAATGTCCCCATGTCCATCTGTAATTCCAGTCTCCCATTTGGTCCCCTAGGGGAGTGTCCACCAAGTAGGAGACCTGCATAAATACAGGCAGGTAGTCCACAGTAAAGCCAGATCCCGTTTGACCCTCAATGCGGAGCTTCTGTTTCTTTATTGGGGGGATTTCTTCTTTGCGCTTAGAGACTGCTGATTGGAACCGAAAGCCGCTTGGTGGATATCGTTGTAGCAGCAGTTCGTGGATTTCCGTTCGGGAGTTTGGAGCCTTTCACGGATCCCGGTCAGGAGATTGCCGCTTTCCCTGAGGTTGGTTCGTATACTGCAGTCTATGCGAACGGAGTTATTGGTATTGCAGAAGGGGAAGGCTAACTAAACGGCGGTTTCCTTTAAAGACACCAGGGGTGTCTTAACAGTGTGTTATTAGTTTAAGCAGACTGTGATTGTCTATTGTTGTGACTTAGATGATAATCAGATCACATTTTATGACCAGTTTGTGCAGAAATCCATTTCATTCCAAAGGGTTCACATACTTTTTCTTGCAACTGTACAGCAGGCTTCTGAACACATAGCGGTTTTAGGATATACAGTTGAAGGTAGGCGATACACCATTAGTAATTTCTCATAAAATAACATTACCTGCTCTAATGCCCCAGTGCACAATGTAATTACATGATGTGACAGCTGAAACCAGTTTGTTGCTTTTTTAGTTTTTAGGGAAAAAAGGGGGGGGAGGAGTGTGGATAACAAAAAAGAAGAACCAAAATCAGGGTTAGTGAGTTTGCACAGTTACCTAGGTAAATGTTAAATGCGTGCAATTTGTGTACACATTTTCCGCATCCTCCTGTTTGCAACATACAGACATGGGCACTTTTATATATATATATATATATATATATAAAAACATGGCATTGCATATAAAAGGTATACATCAAGGTGAATGAATTGTTAGTGAAGGTAGAGATGCGTGCCTATTCCCACCGGTGCTTAGAACCAAGAACTGCACACCATGCCCGAAGTGTCTAACCACCCAGAGGGTTTGTTACTGGATCTTTTTCTGTGAAATCCAGCTTCCCTGAGCTTGTTCATATTTTTCCGCACAGCCTTGCAGCGTGACGGCCATCCATTCATACAAGCTAATTGTGTCTAACCTGTTATTAACAGCCTCCAACAATGGGATTGTTTTGCTTCTCCAATGGTACGCTATGCTCACTTTCTTTACAATGAGCATGTTAAGTAAATTACTTTGCGGTGAGGGATGATATGAAGGAGATAGTGTTCTGGTTTAAATTGGAGGTTGAAGTGGGTTATTTTAAAGACAAGAGATTGAATTTGCTCCCAGAAGGGATTCAAGTCAGGATAATCCCAGAACACATGTTTCATGGTGCCTGTGTCCACTCCGCATCTCCAACAGAGCCGAGATGCACCACTGTAGACAGCTTATGCGGCACTAGATACCAGCAAATTGTTATTTTGCAATATGATTTCCACAATGAGAGACTCATTGAGGTCTGTTTGGTGTTTCCCATGGCTTCATGCCATTCTGATAGGGGAACTGATGCCCTATTTCCTTCTCCATTTAAACCATGTCAGGCATTTTCTCTGGGGATGACCCAGTGAGAAGAGCATTGTAGCACATTGACAATGGATTGACATTTTTGGAGAGGTGCAGTTGACACAGTGATATCGGGGATACACAAGTCAGTGTTTGTGCGCTTTATACAGTAGACAATAAAATGTTTTTAACCCTAAGGTAAAGAAACATGTCCCATGGCTGCAAGGAGTATTCATTTTGTAAGGAAGGGAATGTTTTTATCGTGTCGCCCTCTAGGAGGTCGTTCACCTTAGGCATATCCTTATTTATCCATGTTGTTACTGGAAGATCAGGGGAGAGTGCCATTAAGGTTTCTAGTGGCGCAGATATAAGGAGAGATGTTGTGTTCAGGATGTGTGGACTCCAGGATTTCCAGGACGGCAGCATAAATTGTGAGTACTGCAGTATGGGTGAGCCAGATATCTGGGGGAGCATATGTGCCCAAAGGGAATGGGTGATGCTGTTCGAGTGTAGGCACGCATTTTCAAAGGGCAGCCAGATTGGGTTCTGAGATGCGTTCGATAACCGAAGAATGTGAATTGCCAGCGCCAACACTGAAGCCCTATAGTATTACCTGATGTCGGGTAGGCCTTGTTGTCCCTTGGAATGAGGGAGCCCCAGTTTGTGGTATACCGCCCGAGGGGGATTCCTCTTCCAGACATGCGCGTTTATAGTGGATTGGAATTGTTTAATTAGTTTGGTTGGTAGATCTATGGGCAGGGTGCAAAAGAGATAGAGTATATGTGGGATATTATGTAGTGATTTTGTCAGTTGTATACCTAAGTAGTACTAGAAAATGACTTTCCTGTTACTGGTCACTGAAACCAGAACCAGGACTGTCAGCTGGACAAAATATTAGTAAATAATAGATAATTAAATCAAAATTGCCATCAATATGTCGGAATATAGAGAGGGTTCATACGTAGATTCAAGTGATTAAAATAGCCTAAATGGCTCTTCTCCTGTCTAAGGGACTCTTAGACGTAAAGAATCTATTTGAGACTCAGGACTTTAATATAATCAACCATAGTATGTCCATGTCAACAGTAAAAGCGGTTGTGGAATGAGCCTTTAAATTAACTCCTGTAATCTAGATGGAAAAGACAATCAGTCAAGGAGGAACTTTGAATAGTGGCTGTATATAAAGTAACACTTGTAGCAAAGCCCGCTGTATCAAAAAAGCTACAATAAGAGTGTAGTTAAGCAATCAGCAATTAAGGATAACAGCATTTAGCTGGATACCAAGTAACATATAATAAAAGGAAAAAAGTCTACATGAAAATTCGTAGATTAATCACAAAATATGTCATAAATGATAAATCTTAAGTTAGTGGTTTCCTAAATCGCTATGGGGTACAAAGAGTATCTGTTGCCCCCTCAAATACATACAGAGCCAGTCCAGATTCCTCAATCAAATAGATAATTCCAATCTAGATAGCATATCAGGAGTGACAGGAGGAAAAGGTGAAAAATTAGGAAATAATAGTGCTAATGTGTAGAACCATGCTTAGAGTGCTGGTTACCTACACATCGTGAAATAGTGCCCTAGAAGTGAAAATAAAAAGTGAGTGAAAGTGAAGGAGAAAAAGGGTTGAAGGAGGTTTTTTTTTTTCTCCTTCACTTTCACTCACTTTTTATTTTCACTTCTAGGGCACTATTTCACGATGTGTAGGTAACCAGCACTCTAAGCATGGTTCTACACATTAGCACTATTATTTCCTAATTTTTCACCTTTTCCTCCTGTCACTCCTGATATGCTATCTAGATTGGAATTATCTATTTGATTGAGGAATCTGGACTGGCTCTGTATGTATTTGAGGGGGCAACAGATACTCTTTGTACCCCATACCGATTTAGGAAACCACTAACTTAAGATTTATCATTTATGACATATTTTGTGATTAATCTACGAATTTTCATGTAGACTTTTTTCCTTTCATTATATGTTACTTGGTATCCAGCTAAATGCTGTTATCCTTAATTGCTGATTGCTTAACTACACTCTTATTGTAGCTTTTTTGATACAGCGGGCTTTGCTACAAGTGTTACTTTATATACAGCCACTATTCAAAGTTCCTCCTTGACTGATTGTCTTTTCCATCTAGATTACAGGAGTTAATTTAAAGGCTCATTCCACAACCGCTTTTACTGTTGACATGGACATACTATGGTTGATTATATTAAAGTCCTGAGTCTCAAATAGATTCTTTACGTCTAAGAGTCCTTTAGACAGGAGAAGAGCCATTTAGGCTATTTTAATCACTTGAATCTACGTATGAACCCTCTCTATATTCCGACATATTGATGGCAATTTTGATTTAATTATCTATTATTTACTAATATTTTGTCCAGCTGACAGTCCTGGTTTCAGTGACCAGTAACAGGAAAGTCATTTTCTAGTACTTCCATTTTGGGGTTATGCCCCTTGACACCACTGGAGTGTCATTTAAAGGTGTGACTGACCACTAGGAGGGTGGTATATTCAAGTCTGGAATAACCACTACCTTTGGCCTAGTCAATTTCTACTACTTTTTTTGTATACCTAAGTAGGATAGTGATTTTTTTACGCCAGTCAAAGGTGCATTTTTGCACTAGCTGGGAAGCTGTGGTTTGTAGGAGGTTAATACGTAGCGCTTGGGTTTTAGAGGTATTGTTTTTGCAGTAGGACACCCTGCCATATGCTTTTGGAAGATTGAGCAATTTTGAGAACCATTCCACCTTGGGAGGAGTTGTTAGCCCAATCTGTAGTGTAGGGAAGTGTCTGGTTTTGTCCCCTACCTGTCTACCAGGGACAAAACCCATCTGTTCGTCAAATATTAGTGTGGGGAACAAAGTTTTTATGCACATTGCCAGGAGCTTAGCATAGAGCTTAAAGGACCACTATAGTGCCAGGAAAACATACTCGTTTTCCTGGCACTATAGTGCCCTGAGGGTGCCCCCACCCTCAGGGACCCCCTCCCGCCCGGCTCTGGAAGGGGGGAAGGGGTTTAAACTTACCTTTTTCCAGCGCTGGGCGGAGAGCTCTCCTGCTCCGATCCTCCTTCTCTCCTCCTCCTGGGCTGAATGCGCACGCGCTGCAAGAGCTGCGCGCGCATTCAGCCCGTCGCATAGGAAAGCATTTACAATGCTTTCCTATGGACGCTTGCGTGCTCTCACTGTGAAAATCACAGTGAGAAACACGTATAGCCTCTAGTGGCTGTCAATGAGACAGCAGCTAGAGGAAATAGGGGAACTTAACCCATTCATAAACATAGCAGTTTCTCTGAAACTGCTATGTTTATAAAAAAATGGGTTAACCCTAGCTGGACCTGGCACCCAGACCACTTCATTAAGCTGAAGTGGTCTGGGTGCCTAGAGTGGTCCTTTAACATCTGCATTGAGCAGGGATATGGGGTGTAAATTTGCACATATCATTGGGGGTTTGTTGGGCTTGGGCAGTGTAACTATGCATGCCTCCAGCATTTCCTGGGGAAGTGTACCCTAATGTTTGATGTGATTGAAACGTTTTGTGAGATGAGGGGTCAGCAACGACTCCAGCTTTATGTAGTAGTAATTGGAGAGTCCATCTGGACTCCATACTGTGTAATTTGTGCTTAGTGAGAGTTTTAATTGCTGATCCAATCTCATCCTCCGTGAAAGGATTTTGGAGGAGGGTGCTTTGGTCCTGAGAAATTTTAGGGAGGCTCACCTACTCTAGGAAGTGTTCTATTTCTGCACTAGAGGGTTGGTGTGTCTCTGGATCATTCTTTAGCTGGTATAGGGATGCATATCATCTCGCTAGTTCATCTACTATATTCTTGAGGGGTGTACAGTTTATCCCCCATGTGGAAGTTATATAGAGAATCTTAGATTGGAGGTATTTTTGTTTTAGTCTCCTAGCCAGGAGCTTACCAGCTTTATTTCTGGTTACGTAATGGGATTGTTTTAGGTAGCGTAGATGTTTTTCAGTCATCTGCAATTGTAGGGAGTGAAGTTTGTTTTTAAGTTTCATCATTTGTGTGTGAATCTTTTTTGATGGGTTTGTTTTATTTTTGGCCTCTAGGACAGAAAGCCCCTGTAGTAGCTGAGCCTTGGCCACGCAACAAGATTTTTTTGTCAGGGAACCCAATTGTATGAGGAGCCCAATTGTATGAGGTTGTGTGCTATCTAGGGATGTGCATGGGCAAAAAGTTTGGTTCGGAAATTTGGGTAAGTAAAATAATTTGGCACTTTGGCAATTCGGTTCGGCACTTCCAAAATCCGGGATTTTGGCAGTTCGGGACTTTGGCAATTCTAGATTTTGGCAATTTGGAACATCTTTAGGGCTTCCTAAGCCTACCACTAACCCTACCCCTAACCCTGTCATCATTCATGTAATTTTCCCTCCCTCTCTTGTTTTGCCACTTTTCAGAAATCCGAAGCACTTCAGCACTTCGGTTCGGCAATTCAACACTTCGGCAAATCCGTTAGGCACTTCGAAATTCAGCACTTCGGACATTTGGAAGCATTCGAATGTCCGAACTGAGTGCAATTCGTCTGAATTCGTATTCGGAACAAAACGAATTGCATATGTCTAGTGCTATCCATTGTGTCGCCACCGAGGTAGTACAGGGTTTGTGTGTTACAAAGAAGTTGATTTTGATTTTGGTGAGTATGTTGAGCTCTTTGGATATATAGTTGTGGATCTGGTGTGCAAATGAAGTCACCTCAGATCACAGTGTGACTGACCTTATACTGTTCTATTTATGGAAGGCTGTGCTTAGAAAAGGGCATACAGGGATACTAATGTCATTTGGAGGCTAGAGTATTGTTTTTCTGGAGTGAACACACAGTCGCTGTGGAAATATATGGAAACCCATTTATATTTTGTATGGGACAATGCATGGAAAGCTTGGGGATAGTGTTTGATAACAAACTTTGGAAGGTTGCGGTTACAGAAGTGGGTCTCCTGCAAGCATATTATTGCCACCTTAGATTTATATATTTCCTTCAAAGTTAGTCTGCACTTGTGGTGACTGTTAAGACCTTTGACATTTAGGGAGAGTATTATTAAGGAGTCAGCCATTGTCTTGAACAAGATGTGTTCTTATCTGTGCCAAGAATATCATAGGTCAGGAGAAAAAGATGTTTGTAGAGCTAAGGTCTTTGGGGGTGAGAGTTGCATATTTCATGACACAGGGATCCAGCACCTCAATCTCCTCCCCAACTGCAACTTAATGTGCTCTGAACTGCCTCCTTTGATTGGGCACAATGGCCATGGTAATACATAGTGCACTAAAGAGTATCATAAACAAAAACATGGAAAGTCAGGATGGAAAGGAAACTTAATCAGGACTAATAAACCAAAGTATATACATAGTGCCATCTGTGAAATGGGCGCTTTTTGTGGTTGAGGCGTAGGCTTGTAAATGGTTTTCCAACTTCTACACTCAACCTACAGGGGCCCTCTTGGTGTTCGGAGTGAGGTGTATATTGTCCCTGTTTGACATTCTTTGAGGGACATACACTGCCATGCACTTTAGGTAAGTATTTTAAACCTGTATAGTTTGCAGGTTTGTGGTTTCGAGAGCCTGGTGCTGTCTGCTTATTGCAAGCTGAATTAGTCATAGGGCTATTGACCACTGCTTGTGTGCATTTTTTTTTTTTTTTGGGGACGGGGTATTGTTGTTACTATATGGATGTCCCACTACATACATTACATACAACTAGGTTGCTCAAATTCGGCAGTAATCTATACCGTTTGGGCTTTACAAGGGGTGGGATGTTTACATGTCATGCATAACACATTACTTACACCCCAACAATAACCATCCAGGCTACTGTCATCCCGCTGCTCTTTAAGATGTGGGCCAGAGTTGGGAAGGGTATGTGCTAATTTTAAATTGCTAGTATTATATGCTTGTGGATGCTGTTTACCCATCTGCCTGGTTGTGCTCGGTCAGCTAGGCAGGGGGACATTCGTATCATGTACTGCCGAACATTTATCTTTACTCATTTGAATAATCTACATTGTACAGTGCTACGGAATCCGATAGCGCTATATAAATAATAAAATAATAATAATAATACATCGATGCTGGGTAGCACCACAGCATCTCACCCAGTTGGCTAGTGCAAGTATAGTCTCCCCACTATATTATGGTGGCTAAGCTTACAACAACTTAAATGTGCAAGTAAACAACCTTAACATTGAAACTTATAAATGATATTTCTCATCATCTTGAGCCACAGAGTTATCGCTCTAGTGAGATAGTCCTGCTGCTACGGTGCTTATTGCCTTGCTGGGAGATCCCGCCATGATGTTTACATGTCATGCATAACACTTGTGGATGAAACAGTCCCCATACCTGAGGAGACACATGGTTTGTTGATGGTGTGATTTCTTCCATTCCTCCATACGAGGATCTTTGTTGGGTAGCCCCAGCGATACTGTATTCCATGGTTCCTCAGTGTCTTCATCAAAGTGATGAATTATCTCCGGTGGTTCATGGTCAGTGCTTATAAGTCTGCAAAGAGCTGGACATCATTGTATGGCTCTGGCAGCTTGGGAAACTTCAGCGCGGCAGAGAGCAGTACATCTTTCATTTTAAAGTAGTGGAATCGCATCACTATGTCCCTTGAAATATCGGAGATGAATCTTGGGGGCCTGGGTAAGTGGTGGGCCCTGTCCATTAGCCACTCAGGTACCGCTATATCAGGTAGCAGTG